CTGTGAAGTTTTTTTTTTCTTTAGTCTAGTCATTAAAAACAATAACAAATAGAACTAAAATAATCGTTACATCTTTACTTCATTCAATATTTGTTTTTCTCAATACACCATTTTCGGGACGGGATCTTTTTTTGCGAGACAAAGTAATGAAATACTGGATTAGTTAAAGTGAACAAATTTTTATTTCTTAGTATGCATCAATAGATTTAAACTTATTCGAGACGGGAAATATTTATATGCATCTCTTGTCTCGAAAAGGTTAAAGAAAAGAATGGATTGAATAGAGATAAAAATTTTTTTTTTCTTGACATTTATTTCCGATATTTTTGAAATCGATAGTTAAATAAAAGATGATAAACATGATAGAATACAAAAAATTTTTTGCTGATTTTTGTTTTTAAGAATTTCATTACTAATAAATATTTTCTTTCGTTTTAATATATCTTATAGATTACTAGATAAATGTGCTATTAAATTTGTTTTTCAATATCAGATAGACTATCAAATATTTTATGAAGTTTCTTCATATTATTATGATTATATATTTGCATTAAGAATTCTAAATCTTGATTAGAAATATCGAATTCATGTTTGATAATTATTTGATTTTAATCTAATTAGATAAGAATGTCTGACTATCTCTGATGTTTCACTTTGTTTATTAAACGTTTATATTGGAAATACATATAGCTAAACAGACAAATACAAAAAATAAAAAAACAATAAATTCTAAGATATATACTTTTAGCTACACATCTTCAATATTTAGAAGTAAAGCCCGTTGGATCCGAAACCTGACGAGCTCTAATCATCTGCGAAATGTGTAGGGTGCGCTAGGCACTGCATATAAAAAAATCAGAAAAAAATATCACGTATCTTCAAGGTGACTATTCTATTCCGATTAGAAAATTTCATTGAAATTATCAAAGTACAGTTCGATCGGATCCGAGTCCGAATGTTTTGAATCTGATCGATTCTAGCTATAAGAAAATAATCAGACATATGATTTTATTTATCTTAATACTGATACAACATAGAATTCTTATTATTTTGAATTCTTTTCTTATTGCTATTTTGATCGATTTTGTCCGAAGAATAATTACCAAAACGAAATGAGTGTTGTTTTTTTTTTTTGTAAGTAAAAGTCAATCGAATGCTAGTTCGAAAGAGAAAACGTACTTTAATACAATATTCATTTTACGATTAAGATATAAACTATTTTTTGCTCACATCAATATTAAAAGTTTATTTAGTTTTATCGTTTCATTAAATCGTAATAAACTCTAAAATTAAATTCATAATGAAATTAATGAAAATTTAATCATATAAAACATATAGAATATTTTCTTTTCTGTCTTCAATAGATGTCAGCAAGATAAACGTAATATTTTACTATCCGGTTAAGATAAGCTACATTCACACGCTACACACAATAGTGTGTGTAGCTTATCCTTGCTTGTTTTAACCAATAGAATTACTTTCCATTTTTTATTCTCATATATCCATACATTTTTTGACTTATGTTGAAAAAATATGTTTAGCGAGACTTTTGTTGAATTACAAGATATATTTTAAAATAGGATGTATATGAAAATAAGGCAAATACTCAAATCAAACCATATGTTATTTCCATTTCATTTAATTATTCATTGCAATCACTGGAGATTAAAAATTCAAAAATGAGCCGAGTCAAAATCTAATTGTACATCATAAATAGAAAAACTTGAATTAATTTCTCTATTATATGGGCAAATATTTTTAATTTTCATTCAAGAGAAACTAATATCTTCTCGCAGAAGAAAATTAAGCGTGTTTTTTTTATTATTTATCGATGTTTAAATTTATTTTTCTGGGCTGCTTAGTTACTGTTTTAAATTAAATACATTTGAATGTTGAGAGATTTTTGCTAAGAAACTTCCTGAAAGATGAATGAATAGAAAACAAATTTGTTCTAATTAAATAGTAACTTTTTCATTACATAAACTTTTATGTGAGTGTTTAATATTAGAATTATTATTTCTTTCATATCCTAAATCATATCGGAACTAATCAACATTCGGCAAAAAACTTCATGAACATAGTATAAATGTCAAACTTTTCCTTTATATGAAAAAGCCATGTTATTCCATTTCTTCCATGAATATCAACAAAAGAAAAGCATCTCGAACTTCACATAAAGGTGGGCGATTGAAGTTCACTTCATGTCTTTCTGCCGTCAAAATTCTATCGATTTCTCAAAGTATGTTTGTTTGTAGTTGATAAAACCGAAATGGAGCGTAGTGTTGATGCCAAACGTAATATGATTTTCCAGCATCTGTAAATGAATTTTCATTAAAATAGAATTTTCTTGCTTTGATTCATATGTCTACAGTTTCTACGAATAAAAAAGTAGACTGCTTAGAGTGAAAGAGAAAGAATAAAAGATTCTTAATCGAAAATTCACTGAAAAATATTTCTTTTGGATATTTGACTATATATCTCCGAGATAATTTAATCTCATTTCTCAGTTTATTTCGTTCTTTCAAAGAGCATACTTTTATTGTGCCTTCAAAACATCTTTTAAAATTATGAACGAGTTGATATCGGTGCCACTAATAAGGCCTATATAAGATAGAAAAAAGCGTACTTGATGAAAGTAACATCTTTAAACTACTCAGATATTTGTTCACAGTTGAGTAGACTGAGGTGGGATAAAAATTCTGGACATATACATACTAGAAAATAAATTCTGATTTTAATTAGTTCGTTTTGATTATCTTTAATGGCAACTAGACATTCGAAACATAAGTAGATACATATATAAAGACCTGCTAGTTTACAGTTTTGCACAGACATCGTTTTAGATCCTTCTAAATATTTGTTCTTAACGCTGTAATCTAAGTCAAAAATAAATCTGAATATATATAGAGAGACAGAGTATGAAATACTCAGTCTAGCTGACTACTTTTTTCTCTTCAGTTGCTTAAAATCTGTTGAACATTGAATGGTAATTTTGCGCAAAGACTTGGTGCACATAGGTTAAAAATTATGAGTAGTCTAATTACCGGAACTAAAAGAAATTGGATGTAATAGATTATACATTGTTTACAAGAACAAGAGACTATTTCTGATAATGAACTGATTTTTAATTGATATTGTATTAGAAAAATTGTTTTAAATCATAAAACAGAATATGATAAACGAGAAAAAATAATATTTACTAGTTTTTGTTCATTTATAATAAATGAAATACTATTTTATGTGCGCTACAATTTGAGAAAAAAATTATTTAAACAAGTCGGTACTTATATATTTCATTGTTAATATCTTATTATTTGTGATAGATTGTATTCACATCACATCAAAATCCAGAAAATGAAAACATTTTTATATTCGCTTTTTTTATTTTATTCAAACGATAATATACATAAAACTTATATCTTTCATTAGCGACACGAAACGCCCTCTTTCATATTTAGAGGTTATGTGTCATTTTAATGCAATGGCGATTTTGTGTGTGTACGTCGAAGTGTGTGTAGATTATCTCAACCTTACTATCCATAGGTTGGAAAATCATGATGGCTATTTTTTTGACGAATCACTATGAACTCTTTGTCCAGTTCATGTTCAAACAAGTCAATATATTCTTCAATCGATCGTATTGACTTTCTTTTGTTTACTAATCACCAATCAATTTGTATTTATTTCCAATTGTTCAATTATGCACTATCCACATCTACAAGAAAATGTAAGACTACTGTATTCTATTATATAAGAAGAAAAAGAAAAAGAACGGTTTCCTATCGGAAAACAATTGATTGATTTCCCTCTTGGTTTATCTTTTTTATATTGTTATGTACGTATTTTAGACTTGTTCTTGTTGTTTTTAGTACTTGTATGAAATATATTTTATTATCAATCGATAGAAAACATGTTTATCAATGAAATGATCATCATAGATTAATATATATCTATTGAATGATCGATATTTAATAATCACATTCTTTTTTTTTTATATAGAATGTATATTATGTCCTTCCTATTCAATTAGTTATTTTGTTTTTTTTTGCGTACAAATGTTAGGAAGGATATGGCTTATAAATAGAAAAAAAAACGATTCCATATAAGAAGCGAAAAAAAAAAAGATGTTTAAACAAATCATAATTAGAATAGTTTGTGATGATAGCACGAATTTGGTCTCTGTCTTTGACTCATATGACATTGACTTTCTTATTGCTTCTCTTTGAATGTGCTCTCATCATCATTATTTAGAGTTTACTGATGATGAAAGACAACGAGGACGATGTATAGTATCATGCCTCTTAGGTCTTTGACAGCATCACGACAACTGCTTGTCCTTGATGCTGGTGTTTGTCGTTGACACACACACACACACACACACACATACACATATATATATATATATAGAGATAGATAGATAGATATCTATACACACATAGGTGCAGATAGGCAAGGCACGGTCCAACGACGTATGGCAATTTCATTAAAGATGGCAGCGATAGCGGCAAAAAGATGTGCACAATCGCACAAAGATGTGCTATTACTGATTCTACTACTTCTGTTGTTTCGACTAGTCGTTCGCCGTTTGTTGTTGTTTATTCGATTCTCGTTGCTTGCTCGTCGAGAATGTCGCCAAAGCTGTGCTTTCATAATGAAGATATCACGGGGGAATTTTTTTCCTTGTCCTCTTCTTTGTCGGCATGCATATTTCTTGCTCTTCATCACTATTTAGCAGCCGTCGATTTAGGGAGTACAATAGAGAAAGAAGCAGAAAAAAAGAAGTCATTACCACCTTTTGTCTTTCTCTATAGTTTTCCATAGGATGTCGTCTTTTATTTTTGTCTATCTCTTGTTTATCTAGCAGTACTATCATGTCTATTTTTTTTTCGCCTTGATAATCAAACAACATAATGCCAGAAGATTGAGCGACATATAAAGATTACTGTCGTAGATTTTCTATTATTATATTGACTAATTATTTTTTTTGTTTTGTAGATGTAATGTCGACTATTGAATCCAATAATATTGCTATGAATTCAAAGACTCAGTCGAATACCGTTAATTCGACTGCGCTTGTTGTGTATCAGTCTAATATACAATCTCAAACACCACCACCTCCACCATTACCATTAACATCAAGTACATCATTACCATCATCATCAGCATCATTTAATGAAGATAAACCTATTGAAAAATTTTATAAAAAACAAAAACAAATTATAGTTGAATTTGACCAAATTGTTAAAGGTATGTAAAGATTTTTCCTTCTTATCTATTATTATTACTAGCGATGAGAATGAGTAGGAGGATATCAAGTTCGAAAGGGCAAGATATATACACGTCCTTCTCGCATCATACATACATACATACATACATACATATATATATAAATACATATCTCTACTCCTAGAGTATTATATATCAACAATCCGTGCATGAGATATAAAGCCTTGTTATTATTCTTCATTGACATCAGAAATGCTGATGATGATGAATTGAAGTCAACAAGTCAATATTAAAAACAAAAGAAAGAAATATGAGTTTAGTTTTTAAATAAAATAAAAAATGTCAAAAATGATGCGAGAATAAGATTATAATAGAAAAGAAGTTGATGACATGGCAAGAAGCCTGAAGGCATTAATGAAAAATTCGATTAAGAACTTGTCCAATCACGCATAAATATTGTTTAAGATGAAATCATTGAAGAGAGTTCTAGTAGTATGTTTCATTTGTTATTATTATCACTTGATATTCAAGAGTTGAAAAAACAAATATCTATATATATATAAATTTTATCATTAAGTATATTTTCTTTTCATTTTTGCAAAATATAAGATAAAGCCAAACAATAAAATGAACATAAAGGTATCACATTTCTAATGAACAAGATGTAGACAAGAGAAAGAAAGAAGAAGGAAGAAAGAAAAAAAGAATATATGTGAATAAGAACGTTGACCGACCGATTCGTTGGTGTTGAATGCATTTGCTTCACATTGGAATACAACATTGTTCCTCTTTCATCGTTCATATCTAAGCGAATAAATGTTTGCTATTACTCTGTTGGAGGGCAGACATACACATAAAGTGATACATTAAGCTCCAACATCGTCGTCGCCGTCGTTGAGCAGAAGAATAAAAGGAAAAAAACGTCCTTTACTCATTCGCTCATTCAATCATCATGCAGACTCACGAACGAACAATTAGAATATAGTTGTCTATCTATCATGGTGAACTATACATGTGGAGTAGCTTCAACAAAAAGTAGCTTACGTCGTTCATCTAATTCACAAATAACTTTATTAAGAAAACAAACTGAACGTTATAGACTGCGTAGGATTATTAGATCAATAGAAATAAAATTTTTATTTTCTTTTTTTATTATTTATTTGTTAATTAGATATTCGTTTTCAACTTAATGAACAATTAAAATGTTTGGAACAACGTATTGATACACAATTATCAATTCTTGCTGAAATACAAGAATATTTTAAACGTCGTGCTGATGTTGAACTTGATTATGCTAAAAATCTTGATAATTTACATAAACAAATTAATCAAAAGTCTCGAACACAAAAAGCACGGTAGTATATCATATTTATATTGAAAAAAATTCACTAAAAATTAATTTCTTATTTTTTATATTAGACGAGAAACTTGGATTCTTCAATCTATAAATAAATTATGGGAAACGATTGTTCATGATACTCGTACTCATGTTAAATATCATACAATTATGTCTGATATTTGTGGAAAATATATGTATGATAAATTTAATGAAATTGTTGAAGATACAAGACGAATGTTTACAAAAGTAGAAAAAAGAAAAAGAACAAAAATTTTTTTTTTTTATTCTAATTTTTGTTTTTTTGTTCTTAGTGTAAATCAGTTGCTTTAGCTAGTCATGAAGATATATTTAAAGTACTTAATGAATTACAGAGTGTAAGTGATTTATTTATTATCTTTTATCTCTCGAACATGTTGATTACATATGTGTATGTTTATTTAGACAATGAAAACCTATCATCAGTATCAGAGTGAAAGCAAACAAGCCGAACAAAAATTACGAATTATTCAACAACAGATGGCAAAAATAAAAAGTGCTAAAAAACAAAAAACTATGGAAAAACGAGTTGAAAAAGTAAAGAAGAAGGAAAAAAACAATTTTTTGAATTTCTTTTTTTTTTTTTTTCGAATATTAGAGACAAATGAAATATACAGAAACAAAAGTCAAAGCATTTAAAGCACGTAATGATTATTTAATGACAATTGAATCTGTTAATGCTGCATTAAAAAAATATTGTACAGATGATGTACCTGATTTAATTGATTGTATGAATTTTGGTTTTCATACATCAATTGCTAAATCAATACAAATGTATTTATCAGCACAAGAAAATATTAAACGTGGTCGACAAGCGTATGTTAATATATTTTTTCTTTTTTATCAAATTAATAAAAAAATTGTTTTTTTATTTTTAAAGAACAATTGAAACATTAAATCGAGCTATTGGTGATTTAGATACAGTTACAGATAAACAAAAATATTTAGAATATTATTCAAATACATTTACAATACCAAAAAAAATTAAATTTGAACCACATAAAGGTGATGAAGTATCAGCTGTTAATGCTCAAGTATTAATACGTGATGAAATGCAATCACGTTTTATACAAATGCAAAGTAGACTTGCAGGATTAAAAACAGAAAATGATGAGGTTTGTATTTAATTAATAATTAATAGAAATTTATAAAGAATTCTTCTTTTTGGAGGGAAAAAAAAAAGGAAAGATTTCATTTTATCAATTATATAATTTGATTAATGAGAATTATTTTTTCATAGAGAATATATTTTAAGTTTTCTTATGTAAATAAAAATCTTTTTAACACTACTTATAAATATTCAAAGAAATATTTTTACATAGTAGTCTGATTCTTAGACGTTCAAGTATATATGTAAAGAATAAGTAAGTAGAAAATTGATGTCAATATGTAAACAATTACTCTTGAATAGAGATTGCCTTTGGGAAGGACGAGAATAATTAAATGAACAGCTGTTAGTATAAAGAAAGAAATGTAAATATTTATTGAATTTATTTTAATAGATTTTCAAAACAATTGAAGCTACAGAACAATCATTAATGGAATTTATTAATACGAAAAATTCTGATGTTTCTGATTTATTTAAAGATCTTAATTTACCACAAAATATATCAAAAGATAAAAGAAAAGAAATTGAAGATTATTATGTTGAGGTATTTATAAACATTATTTATTTAATTATTTTATATATTTTCTTTTTCTGTAATAGAAATTTAAACAATATACATTAAGCAGTAATTTAATTGCACGTTTACAAGCTCGTCATGATATTATGCAAAAAGCATTAGGTGCTGCACCAACTACAGCTAGTGTCGAAGATAAAAAGTATGAAATCATTTTATAGATTTATTAATAAAAACATAATGATTTTTGTTTTAGTTTAATACGCCGTCCAATAAAACCAAAACAAATTGGTCGTGCTCCAATTCTTGGTCGTCCACGTTTATTTGGTGGAAAACTATTAGATTATATTCAAGTAACACAACAACATGTACCATTAATTATTTCATCCTGTGTTAGTGCTATTAATCGACTTGGTTTACATAATCAAGTAAAATAAAAAAATTTCAATTTCAAATCTTTTCTGTAATTAAATATTTGCTTCTTTTTCTTTTTCTAAAGGGTATTTTTCGTGTACCTGGTGCACAAATTGATATAAATCAATTTAAAGAAGCATTTGAAAAAGGTGAAGATCCATTAGTTAATATAACTGGACGTGATATGAATTCAGTTGCTGGTGTATTAAAATTATATTTTCGTGAATTAAAAGAACCATTATTTGCTCGAGATATGTTTGATTCCTTTATTTCATGTATTGGTAAGAAAACAAACATTTTTGTAACACACACAAAAAAAAAAAAAGAATTTCCTTTTTTTTTCTTTTAGTTGATGTTGAATCTGAAGAAAAATGTGTTGAAAATCTTTGTCAAGTTGTGAAACTTCTTCCTCGTCCAATATTCATTGTTATGCGTTATTTTTTTGCTTTTCTTAATCAGTAAAATATTCATTTAAAACTTATGAAAAAAAAAAGAGTCTATTATTGTTTTTTTTTAGTCTTGCAGAATATTCTGATGAAAATATGATGGATGCATCAAATTTAGCTAGTTGTTTAGCACCAACACTTATGCCAATACCTGAAGATAAAGATCAAGTACAATATTTAACACACACAATTGAACTTATACGAACAATAATTACACATCATGAAGAAATATTTCCATCAGATGGTAATGGACCTATCTATGAAAAATTTGCTATTACAGTTGCAATGTAAGATAAACACACACAAAAAAAGAAAAATTAAATTTTTCATGAAGTAAAAAATTCTTTTTTTATTTTAGTGATGGTGAAGAAGATGAAGATGATGAAGGAATCAGTGAACGATCATTAAGACGAACACCAAGTGATGATGGTAAAGATAAATTATTAACGAGCAAGAATAAAAAACAACTATCTTTTTTTTTCTCTTTAAAATATTTATAGCCTCACAAGATTCCGATTATTGCACCGAAGATTTTAATTTACTGAATGAGACTGATGTTTGGTAAAGAATGAGAAAATCATAGAGAGTTGAGAGGAAAAAGGAGAGAAATGATTTGCATCTATGTAAGAGGACCTTGGAAAGAGCGAGCGCATGTTTAGCATGGCTTCCACATTATATCCTTTTGTTTCAAGAGCTATACACGTCCTTATGTATGTGCGTGTGTGTGTATGCTGTTTTAAATGAAGTCTTTATAAATTAATGGTTTTTTCTCTTGTTCTTTTTTTTCAGAAGTGGAGACGATTGAAGCAGTAGCATTGTTTGATTATGTTGGAAGAACTGAAAAAGAATTATCATTTAAAAAGAATCAAATTATTTATATATTTAAAAGAATGAATCATGAATGGTGGCAAGGTTGTTTAGCTGGTGGAAATGAGTCGGGATATGTTCCCGACGGTTACATCAAGCCTAAAACAAGGTTTGTAAAATAAAATCAAAATTAAGTTAATTATTAAGATTAAAAATTCGAAAATATTGATTTCTTCAATCGTATCTTACAATGTCCTTGCAGATTTGTTCAATTGACTTAAATTATTAGTTTTCAATTTGTGAATTTAACTTCAAATTACTTCTATGAAACTATCTGTAATTTAATCCGATAAAGTCGCTGCAAGAAATTCATGGAAATATTTTGTTTTTTCATTTAAATTGTTCTAATGGATTGAAAATTAAGGATCCGTCTATTACGAGGAAATCATCCGAACTGATATTCACTTTGAAACTAAGTGATGATCATTTTACTGAATTTTTGACTCAGCTTTAGGTATACATCGAAAAGCACAATTTCGATATAAAGTTTTACCTATAGATAGGTCTAATGATCTATAGAATATTTTGAAAGTTTTAGTGGAAAAGAATATTCCTTTATTGAAATATTAAATTTTCAAGTGAACTCGAATTTTGTAGTATGTCTGTGGCAAACGAGTGTTTTTTTTTTGGTAATTGAATCTCTCGATTAAAGAAAATTTTCTTTTGAATGAAACTCTCAAAATATTCTATAAATCGTAAGACCTATCTATGAGCGAAATTTCACACTGAGATACTGGTTTTTCACTATATACCGAAGACCGGATCGAAAATTCAGTAAAACAAGCATAATTTGGTTCTAAAGATCCATGGAGATAAATCCTTTTTGTCTACTGCCAGTGTCGCCAAGACATTCTTATAGGCCCAATATGAGCTCAAACGATGAGTGTCTGTTTGGGTGGTTCTCTTGCTAATATTTTCTGAATATCATTCTCAATATTTGAAACTCTGTGAGTTAAACAGTTTTTCAAAAGATAGCAAATAAAATTCTCGACAATATTCAATGGAAATGAGCATACAAAAGGATGAATAACTAGAAAATCATATTTGATCAGCAATGCTATACTTCAAAAACAAGATCTACTTTCGAGCCACAATTTTAGTTTTTATATTATTGCGTAAATTTTTCATCATACGGAGAAAAAATTGTATACATTATATTATGGTTCATGAAAGTCTTTCACTTGAGTGAATTGGTTTTTTTTGGCATCTTGGAAATTTTTCCATACAAAACATTTTGTTTATCCTTCCTTATTCGTATTTTAAGAATTCCTTATAGAAGTTCATCAAAATTTTGATTTAATTAATACATTAAAATTTATTACTAAATTGAAGGGATACACGTTCTTCTACAATTTCAATCCGAGAAAACTTTTATGAGGACTTTTTTTTATAATAAATAGCTCGACTGAGGAGAACTAATAATGCTGTCAACTTGTTGTTCAAGAGAATTGATTAAAAACTTATCTACAAATCTTTCTTAAGCACTATTCGAAAGAATACATCTAAAAACAAAGGATATTTCCTATAAAAATATAGTTCGAAATGTATTTAATCAAAGGAAAGGAAATAATTAATTAATTTTTTAAAATTGATATTTGAAAATAATTATTCTTTTAAATTTCTGTTAGACGTCGAGATTCAGCTCCAGTACAAAATCGTCCATCACTTTGTCTTACTCCAGAACCATCATCATCATTTAATTCAATTAATTTAACAACATTATCAAATGATCAACTTAATACTCCTATAGTTTATCGTCAATCATCTAATTTATCAATTGTTGATGAACATCGTCTTGAAACAGCTAAAGAAACGGAAATAGTTGAAGTTGATTCTGATATTGAAAATGAAGAAGAAGAAGAAGATGATGATGATGATGATAATGATGACGATAATGAAGATTCTGATGTATCACAAGAAAATACATATGAAAATACAAGTAATTCAAGTCATCAAAAATCTAATAATCATCATTCAATATATGATGTTTTACCACCAAGTCCACCTATATTACAAATAAAAAAAGATCATTGTCATTCAAGATCATCAACATCATCATCATCACGTTTAACATCAACAAATGAACAACAAATAATTGATATTGATACAGCATTACGTGAAGTATTATCTGGTATTCGTACAGTTGAAGAATGTCATGCACAATGTTTTCGTTCTGTATCAACAATAAATAATCAACAAGATGAACGTTTATCAACACAACAAGAAAGTGATGCACCTGATCTTGTACTTAATTTACCTATTACAAGTGGACTTATAACACCACCATCAACAAAATCTATTGATAATAATATAAATGAACATCAATCATTAAAATCTTCATCATCATCAAATAGTTCACCAATTCATCAGATAGATCATAGTCATAATAATAATAATAATAATAATTCATTAATACAATTAACTATAATGAATGATTCAACACGTACATCACGTTCAAATTCTGCATCAACAACAACAACACATTTTATTGAAAAAATTCGTCCATCACCAGAACCAAGTCATCGAAAAAAAATTCCACCACCTATTATGAAAAAGCCAGAAAAAACTATTGAATTACTTAAACGTCTTGGTTTACAACCATCTAATGAATCATCATGCGGTGCTACAAGCTCATCAACGTCAACCTCTTCTTCCTCATCGTCACATTTACATCAACAACCAGTATCTGTTGCTGGTTCGTCCAAAACTACTGATGTTTAATTAAATATTTTTCTTTGCTCGATAAAAAAAAAAAAGAATAAGAATTAATCGGTGCTGCTAGTCGCGCTCTTTATCTCATGTACATTAATCTTTATCCCATCTAATCATTGTTTCTTTCTCTTTCTCATATTTTTTAGCGTGTAAACAATCATTCTTATATTCTTGTTGTTGGCCTGTATTCATGGCTCTTTCTTTTCTTAGAACAAAAAAAAAATAATAACAAAATCGTTTATCATTCTTGTTTGGTTGTTTCTTGATTATTACCCGTTGTCCATATATTCTTTTGTAATGCAGTTTGTTTTTTTTTTCTCTATATGAATGTATATTGTAGAGAAGAATCTCCTGTTCAATGAACAACGATAAAATAAGTGAAACAAAAAAAAAATAAAGGCAAATAAAATTGTGAAAAAATATATGGGAGGAATCAGGAAATCACAAGAGTAACGAATAGAATCCATCGGGTCCAAAATTTTCAAATTCAGATCCGATCCGATGGACTCTGTAACGAAATTATCTAAGATTTTTATTGATAATTTTGATTAATATGTGTAACGTTTTCGTTTTTATAAAGAACATCATTGGATACAATTTGAACTAAAGAAAAAGTTTAAACCTCCTTCACTCAAAACGAGTCAACTTTCGTCAGAAAAATCAAAATTGAGATAAAGGCATGAGAAGATAGCTCGATGCCTGATCTTCCATAAACGATATGATTTTTTATTTGGCATCTCGTTTTTTCCAAAACGTTTGATGATTTCCATCATTTTCTGCTTGAAAAATCTTTTTCGAGTTTTTTATTATACAAGCCAGGATTTTTTTTTGATTTGAAAGAGCATGTTAAGATGCAGTGCATAACAAGTTCTCTTTTTGTTGAATTAAGCCTTGTTACTATTATATAAAGAGAGTACTTTTATAATTAGAATGCGATTTTTTCAAAACATTGGATTTTTCTCTCTTTAAAAAGTAAGAATTTTAAAAAGAGAGCTCTGCCATGCTTTTTCAAACAAAACAAAAAAAAAAGAATTAAGTACATAAAATGAAGATTTACAGAGACTTTCGGATTGCCAAGTGAATTGGTTTTTTTGACTCTTGTTTATTGAATACCTTCCGAAAATGTCATGACATAGAACTGAAAATGTCACTATAGCCTCAACATATCCTGAAAACTACATGTGATTTGAATGTGTTTGACCTTAAGATCAGTTTTTCAGGAGGCTTTAAGATAATCCCAAAGAAATAATAAGACAAGATAAAGAATTACTTTCGTTCTATTCATTTCAAACATTCCAATATAAGGCAAAGAATGATTTATCTACATTGGAATGTTTGAAATGAATAGTATGAAAGTAATTAATTGTTTCTTTGGTCTTGATGTGTCTTTGGAATTCGTTTAAACTTTTTCTTTTGCTTAAACTGTATGTTATTTATAATGATGGAGATCAAGTATACATTAACTATAATTAACTGAATACTAGTTAACTTGGATCTGATGTATACTCAACATAAATGATAATTAGTAGTCAACGAGCATGAATCATTAGAAATATGTGTATTGAGTTGGATTGAGAGTGATGGCAATGAAAATAGACGTGGTCTTTTTTTTTGGCTTGTTAAAAATAAAATTCAATGCAACATTTCAATGCAATGATTTTCTATTGATGATTTTGCTTTATTAATAATAAAAGATCATTCCATTCAATCAAAATATACAGATCTAAAGAAACATAAAATTGTTTGTAGAAGAAAAAATAACATTTAACATGAATTACTCGAACATGATCGTCGTAAGATTATACAATTAGATAAAATTAGACAATCTACAATATCTGAATAAATCTATGAAATTTCTTATTCTTGATTCTTAATTTAATATATCATATTCTCTCTATTTTTTGTGTTATGTATTGATTTATTTGATAAAAATCAACAAGGAACTAGTAAAATATTTTTCAATATGTCAATCAACAAAAAATTTTGTTTTTCTAATGAAGTCATAGACAATGGTCTACTTTTGTTGGATTACTTCACTATTGAATTTATATCGTACGAGTTAGAAAAGAATTGGCTTATCTTCCAATCCTTTAATGACCAACGATTGTTTACTTTGTCAGCCGAAATTACTTTTGACGTTTGTTTAAACAAAAAACATACTTATGTCATCTTGTTTATTGTCTTTCTTTGTTTTAAACATTCGTTCATTTATTCATTTGAAATCTATTCGAATACAATGATAAAAAAAAGTAAGTATCAAAAATATTTCCTTCTAGAGATCATAGGATATCGTTTTCTGAGAGCATAAAAAAACAAAAGAAATATCTTGACTATGTAGTAATTGATGTAATTATTTTAACAAGATTGAAATTAATGACCCTGTCACATTCTATTATCCACAAAGATTTAAGTTCATTGAACATCGTTGTTTGACAAACATGTAGATTATATATTGATTGACATATGTAGGTGTTAACTAAAATATAACAAAAAAGAAATGAACAAATACAATAACAATGACATCTTTACATATTTCAATGGTTCAAATAATGTTACTTACTAAACATAATTATTTATCAATACTATTTATTATTTTATTCTTTTTTCTTATACCATTAACCGATAATTGTAATATATGGAAAGCATCTGAATGTCCACAACCACCATCAGCTGACGATGAAGACATTGTATGATATTTATTTATTTATTTTTTTCTTTTTTTCAATTAATTTATTTTATATTTAGTTTAAATATGATTTATATACACGTGAACAACTTTTTCAATTTTGTGATCAAGGAAAAAAATATGCTGAATGTGTTAATAAACAACTTCATTGTTGTGATTTAAAAAGTGAACATACAGGTGCATTAGCAGCTTTTGAAGTTGGTCTTCAACAAAATGTAAGATCTTTTAAAAAATTATCATTGAAATTCATTTTTTATCAAAAAATGAAATCAATAATCGATATTATCATAGAATAAATTATTTTAATACTTCATTTATCTTGGAAATATATTTCTAATTTCCACAAATTCAAAAAAAAGCTCATTTTCATATTTTTGCCTATTTTCATTAGGGTTGGCGGCTAGGTAGATATTGTGCTGGTCTTGGCGCTACTACAATTATTCAATATAAATGTAAAACAACAAGTCTATCACCAGCTAAAACAACGACAACAACAACATCGACATCATCAACAATAGCACCATGTGAGGTCGAAGAAGTCTGTATATATATATGATATCTAAAAGAATAATAATAATTATTATATAATAATTATATAGGCTGGAAAAGAATGTAATGATATATTAGAAGAGCGACTTAAATTTGAAGTTGGTTGGTCTGTACAAGAAAAAATTCAATGGTGTAAATCAGTAACAGATTATATTCAATGTGCTGGTAAACATATAACAAATTGTTCAATAAGTGAAGTTCGTGATGATGTTGAACAACTTTCAAATTTTATGGAATATATTATGAAACAAGCTAATTTACATTGTCATGGTAAAAGAAACATAAATATTTTGATTTTCTAAATAGTTTTTATATAATTATTTAAGGTGGTTTTTATGGTTGTGAAAATGCGATTACTGATGTACGTTGTCGTTTAACTGCACGACAATTTTATAATGGTGAAGCACTTTATTCAGCATCAAAATCATTAATCATTGAATGGTACTTATTTTTATTGATTGCTTTAATATGTTGGTGGAATAAATAAAAATTTTCAATGTTTTACAATCTATAATTGATATTATTCATGAACTCGTTTTATTGCAAAGAACAAAAGAAAATAAAAATAATTTTAATTAAGCTCTTTTTTTTTTCTTCTTTTAAAAATCCTATACAAACTTTGTTCTTTATTTTAATTGCTAAAAAAAAACCTGTTCGTATTTGTGCGTTCATAGACAATAGAAATAATATATAAAGATATTTGAATGTTATCATAAATAATTTTCTACAATTAACAAAATAATAAGTTTCATTAGGGACTGAAGATAAAGTCTCTGATGGATGGATGAAATAGAAATTAACATCCGATTAGAATAAACGTTTTTAATCATCAACAAGTAATGGCAGAATCAAGAAGATAAGTTCAGCCTATCCTTAATGATTTGGAAAACTATATTAAAGTGACCATCTGCGTGAGTTTAGGATAGGCTGAATCTATCATCAACTCACTCCATGATTATAATCGATAGAGAATTTTTAAACTACTCCGGTCCAATCGGTCGGTTTGAAAAATCTTTTAGATCGGTGAAAACTGGCCAGTTTGTTGGGTCATTATTAATCGATTAATAGAAATGACTTTAGAAAACATTCGTTTTCGTAATTGGATTCAAGTTTTTACAAATCTCCAGGAAGAAATGTTATGTTATAGCCGTTTGTATCTGTTAGGTTTCTCAAAGATGAATATGTGATATTTTTATATATAATGCGAAGAGAAAAGTCATATACCTATTAATTCATCTAGAATTTCCTCACTCAGCTTTTTCCGACAAACCTAACATTTCTCTTCGAACAATGATTCAATCCTAAGTTTGATCTTTACGTAAACCTATATGATGAGTTTAGTCAGAGTAATACAGTTTTGATTTTGCTTTTTAAAACAATAAAATTTACTGCGATTACAGAAATAAAATAATGTGAACGAACAGAACAAAAATAAAACTAATAGTTCTTGAAAAAAACACATTGATTATTTTGATAAGAACAAGCAAATTTACTCTCAACAAGTTTTATGAAATAAAAATGGCATATCTATAAAATATTTTCGAATTGGTGAAGACTAGCCGGTTTGATTACAACTTTGCCTCATCCTAAATTAAAATACTGCCTCCAAAACTATCAACAAGTTTAACCAAATATAATATCTATTGGGCTGACAATTTAATTTTATTGCATCTTATATAGTTGTTCGTAATATAGAGTGAATACTTACATAATGCTAAGATAACATATACTCTTTAAATCGAGATTTTTTCAATTAAGATAAAAAAAAAAGTCCGTAATCAAGAGAAGGTACCGATTAAGATTTATTTTGAGGATATATATTGTTCTTAGTTTACAAAAAAGAAAATGAATTAACGTACAAGTACATTTTTTGATTGATTTTTTTTTTTGTCCTAATATATTATTTTGTTGTTGTCGATGAAATTCGAAACGTTTATTGCTATTCATCTATACGAACAAAAAGAACATCGAAATCATAGGGTTAAGTCTACTTCAGTTATTGACGTACTTTGCACGACATAATGGAACATAGCAACTTAGCAATTCCAATTAGGTATAAATTTGAAATTTAGACAGAGTTTGTTTTTAATTAGATGCTAAACTATGAAATAAATTCTTATTTTCATTTGCATTAAGAAAATATAATAGACAATTGTTTTATTTTTTTTAACTAGGCAGCTTATTCATTTTCATTTATTCTCATTGTGATATATGCACAAATGATTTCTTCTGTGTTGACATCAGAGAATGATTTTTGAAAGTATTTTTACGAACAAGCAAATCAATTTTTTTTAAATTTTTCGAGTATTAAAACTCCGAGAGAAGACAATTATTATTCTACTACAAGGAATACAACCACGTTAAATTCGAAGATCAATAAATATGGATAAACAAAGCATAAGCTAGCTTAAAGATCCTTTCTTTTTACTGGGGACGAGGGGAGGCTCGGAGCTTGCTAAGACAAACTAGATTTCAACTGAATACACTCGCGAACTCTACAACTTCTTAGATTTAACTAGACTTCTATTAAGATTAAACATAATTTAATATAAATATATACGATCAGTTCTTTATTCTCATCTTTTTCGTCATTTTTAAATCTTTTTAAAAATTCTGCTTAATTTTGTCTAAATAAACAAGCTTCGAAAAAGTAAAAAAGTTAATTTATATCTCGATTATTGGAGCATAGTAAGGTGCGTTAGTTTGCCTATGATTAGATATTGTATTTTATTGAAAATAAAATTTCATGTACCGTGATTAACTTTTGTTTTAATGTAATATGTTAGTTGATTCGAGATTGATCTAGGCGGATCGATGATCGACTGTGTTAACCTTTCAATCCACTATTGACCTAGGCCAATCTGAGATTGGACGCTCACGCACATATATATATATATATATATAAATCTTCTAATAAATTAAATTTTTTATTATTTTATTTTTCATAGTTCAAAGAAAAAACCCATAAAATGGGCAGAAGATCTTTGTTATACTCTCATAATAATATTTAATTTAAGTACTTGGATAGATATAAATAGTGTTTGGATTGAATTACCATTAATAGTGAATAGTGCACCTGAACGTTGGACATTACCATCAATATTATCATTAGTGATAAGTCTTGCTAATATATTTCCACTTATAGTTGCTATATTACGTTGGAAATTAGGCAAATATTATTCTGAAATTCCTTTTATATATATAATTATAATTGTTGGTATAATTGCTTGTTGTTCAATTGCTTTATTTTGGAATCATACAACATATATTGATGGTAAAGAACGTAGTGTTGCATTACTTACTGCAGTATTTTCTTTAGCAATTCTTGATTGTACATCATCACTTGTTTTTTGTGATTATATGAGACGTCTTAAAGCTAAATATTTACATGCTATGTTTTTTGGTGAAAGTTTAACAGGTACATTACCAACATTAATTGCATTAGCACAAGGTGTTGGAGGTGAAATCCAATGTATTAAAAATAATTCTACATCATCTTTCGAACCTGTTTATTCTGAAGCTCGTTTTAGTGTATCAATATTTTTCTTTCTTGTTACTGGTATTATAATTTTGTCATTATTAGCTTTTATGACACTTCGATGGACATCTATCATTAAATTAGCTAAAGCTAATGATGAAATTTATTTAGAAATCAATAATGAAGCAAATGAAATGTTTATAATAACGAATGAAAATATTTCGAAATCGAAAAAAATATCTTTATCAACACCAAATTCAATGACAAAAAAACAATATTTTATTCTTCAATCATTTAATGTTATTAATTCAGCTATTTTATATGGTTGTTTACCAACATTAATTACTTATGCATTATTACCCTATGGTCAAAAAGCATTTTATTATTGTAGTATTCTTTTTCCAATGTCATATCCATTATCTGCACTTTATGGTTTTGTACGTCCAACATTATCAACTTTTTGGATTATTATTTGTTCAATATTTGGTTGTTTAATTTGTTTTTTTATTTTTATTATTGCTTTTCAAAGTCCATGTCCAATATGGGCAGATACATTACATGGAGGAATTATTATGATAATTGCTTGGTTTTTTTCATCATTTGTTCTTGCATATGTGCGTATTGCTACTGGAAATCGTATTAAATTAACATGGAGAAAAGAAAATGGATTATTTTATTTTGGTTTATGTATTCAAATTGGAATAATAGTTGGTGCTTTACCGATGTATTTAGCTGTTAATGTTTATCGATTATTCCAAGATCGACAACCATGTATCACATATTGTTTATAGAATGAGAAAAAAAAATTAAAAATGATGCTATTTGTTGTTTTTATTTACGCTGTGTTCGAAATGTAAAATCATATGTATTGACTAAGTAAACGAGATAATAAAAAATTTTAAAATGTTTGTGATTATATACATATTGATGAACTGATTGAGTCATGGCGGCTTATAAAAATGAAGAAACATATCCTAATTTTAAGAAAGAAAACTTTCAGATGCTATGTACTGTTTTCAAGTGATTATACATCAGTTTGTATAGATAATAATCAGCCACATGATGAGCTTTTTTCTTTAGAAATAGTGGCGTGATTAAGAGGGTCTCAATCTCTTCCCTAACGATCGAAATCATGCCAACTAAATGTTGACATAAGCTTCTCCACCAGACACAGCGCCCTGAGATGCAACTAGATGCGATCCAAGGTGACATGTGATAAAATGATGAAGAAGAGGAGACGATGATAATTAGCAAGAAAACAAGAATAATGTGAATAGTTGAAGAAGTGATTAACTGCAATAGTGTTCTGCAACTGGATTGTGTAGCTTGCACTTGGAGTATCGATTCGGGTGCCCACTTGACGGGTCGATTCGAGTACTGGCTATGAACTCATACTCGGACACAAACCGACAATTAATTAGATCTCGATATTTCAAAATATTTTTACTTTTTCAAACTATTAATTTATATAAAAGCATGCGAGTGAAAACCAACTCGATCATAATTGAGCAATTTATTGTACTTGAGAACAAATCACAGAAGTAGAAAGCGAAATTGTTTTACTAAAAGAATTTGATTTTAATGAAAACGCATCTGAAGATGATGATGATGAATCATATAGCGAAGTAACTGGATAAATGAAGACGAAAATGAATTATCAAAGAGATGAACATATACATGTCCACAATTATGACGTGTAGCATCAACATTCTGTTCCATTCCCGCGTTATCAACAATAAGCAAACGTATACTTAGCGAAACTGATGGAATTGCAGAAGCAGAAAGACACCCAATGAATAGTGAATCACTTTCTTTTTTGTGAAATTTAAAATCATCTCTTTTTTTTTGGTTGCTATTTATGGAAGTAACTAAATAGTATACTTTTTCACATAAAACAAAAGTTTGAAAAGTGTACAGTGAGTATGAAAGTATCTGCCGGATGTCGATTAGCTTCGATCCATGTTCGGTTGCAAAAGTCGTACTTGTACAGAACAGTAGACTAAAGATAGAAATTAAGAAGAAGTTTAATCGTGAAGTCAAGATGTGTAAGAAGAAGATGAGTATCAGTGGTAAAGATAAGTTTAGGATAATGAACGAATTGCTGCAACCAACGAGAAAACGATTTGTAATGATCAAAATAAAATGAGCACGAGAAAAAATTCATAAAACAGAACAATCATTTAACACAAACAACTATACAGACAATAAGGAGAAAGAAAGAATATAGATGACGGCTAGTGTGGTCACATCTTCTCTTTCCACTATCAAAATCTTGATAACACCACTTGAAATAAAATGAACTATATGCTTAGAAAATTTTCATCAAGTATGTATCAAATACTGTAGATATCCATTGTAACTTGTCCAAAATACAAACTCTGAAGACTCAATATTCTTAAACTTTGAACAACTAAATCTTTCAATAAGATTTCATTGTGATTTTTTCGAACATATAGTCCATTTTCATTTTTTTTTAAATTGGATCTAAAGATCAACATTATGTTCATCAATCTTGACAAACTGATATATTCTCAATTTAAAATGGAGCTAAAATAATGTTCAAGTGTTCTTAATTATCATCTTAAAATACCTTTATCATATTAATTGATAGTATTAATTCATTTATAATACAATCTATTCTCTTAAAACTACACATCTAGTAATACTTTTAAAGAGAATTCAGCTATGATATTAACAAGTAAATTGTCATTAATCTGATGTAAATCTTTATTGTTAAGCATTGATTCAATTCTCTTCGATTTCTCTCATTCTTATATAACATCATAATTCGAAAAAAAGAAAATTCAAATGAATCAACTCAAACATCCGATATTACATCCAACATAAAGGTGTCAATCTTCTAGACATTATTATGATGAGAACAAATAGATGCACTAAAAAAAGAAAGAAACGAAAAGATTGATCAAAACGTTCTCTACTCTATTGAATAGTAAGTCATTTCGGCACGTATACATAGACAAATATTCAACATTTGCAGATGCTTAGCAAAGGATTTGCTAACGATGTACAAATGACCGATTCGATTTTTTTTTCTTCTTCTATTCTTTCATAGAAAACTCAAATAACCAATAAAACAAAAATTCATACTCTTCGAACAATTTCCGTTTAAAAGAAAAATTTCTAACACATTTTTTTTTATTTAGAGAAACCATTATTGATCGATTTTCTTGTTTCGACTTCTTATGTCAATTTATACAAATTTGTTTTTGTTTTAGCATTGATTAAGAATGTGAATTGTTTCCGGCAATAATCATCCCATAATATATTTTATATAGATGAGAAAAAAAACAAAATAGTTTATTTCAAATCTAACCATTATACAATACACAACGAAATTCTTTTTTTTTTCTCTCTCAATATTGTTTTATCACAGACCATTGAATAAATCTAATCAAAAAGAAAACAAAAAACAATTATCCTGCCCACCATGTGTGATGTTGATGATAATAATTGGTCTGCGGATTTGAATAATCATTTATTGATGATGAAGATTCTCCTGTTATTGTTGTTTCCCAAATAGATGGTTGTTCGAGATTCATTGATGATGGAAATGGCGGAGGTAGTGGTGGTGGTGGTAAAGGCAATGGTAATGATAAACCATTGTGTCCTTTTTGTTTCTATTTAAAAAAAAAAACATAATCATTTTTCTCTCTCGTTATGTTTTTATTTTATTACTTTTCGAAATTTTGCTCGTCGATTTTTAAACCAAACTTTAACTTTAGCTTCAGTTAATTCTGTTTGTGCAGCGATTTCTTCACGAAAATTAACATCTGGATATATATTATAAGTAAATGTCATTTCAAGATGTTGTAATTGACTTGATGTAAAATGTGTACGTAAACGTCTTGTTCGTTTATTATCATTATTATTATTATTATTATCATTTGAAAGTTTTTTTTTATTTGAATTTGATTCTATTTTTAAGGATGATGAATCATTTTGATTTTCATTTGATTTAATACTTAAAGATTCATTATGTGATTGTAATGAATTATATTGTGAATAAGTTATATTCGATTGTTGTTGATAATAATTGGAATCATCATTTGATAATGATTGAAAATAATATTGTGGATAATATTGTTGTTGATATTGATATTGATTATAAAAATAATTATTTGAATCAAATGAAACATCATTTAAACAAGTAAATGATTGAGAATATGTATTATCATATTGTAATAGATCATTATGAATAGATGATTTTTCTTGTGTATTCATTATTCTGAAAGAAAAAACAAGAAGAATTGAGTTTTGCGATCGTTTGTCTATTGATTATGTATTTTTATAATGCTATTAAAAATACGACAAGTGCCATTGAGAGTATAGGTAATGATTCTCTCTCTCTCTCTCTCTCTCTCTTTCTCGCTCTCACTTTATGTCAACATGATTGGTTTTTTCTTTTTGATTGACCAATCAAATGATCTTACCATTTTTTTCGGGTTCTTTTTTTTATTTCCTTATTTATAAAATTCTGCTAGATATGAATATCATAAACAAATGCAAATACTATCTATTCGTAGTGATAATTGAAAAAATGATGATTAGTTTCTTTTCTTCTATGTCGCCGCATTTCTCGATGATGAAGAAAACGAAACGCCTCTATTTGAACAGGACAGAACGGTGTATATACGAGTATCTGCTTTCACAATATAATAGATGAGAGACAAAAACGACCGATCCTAGTTGTGTATACATTCGTTTTACGACCGATGCACGATGTTGATTGGGGATTAGTTGTATAATGGAAATATATATAGTGAAAGAGAAAGCGACGATATGATCTAAACAGAGATAGGTGTGTTCTGCTTTTTTTCTCATTGTCCTATGAGAAAAATTCAAATCGAGACAATATGATTATTCTTTGGAGATATGTTTTGTTATAAGAGAGAAAATTCATCGTATCAATGAATTAGTGTTAAATGATTATTATATAATGTTACATAAACAGCATTTGAAGAATTAGATTATGATTAATGAATTATCAGAGAAATTTTTCATTCAGATTGACTTCAATTTGTAATTTATTTAAATAGTTTGTTTGTTCTTGCGACATTTTTTATCATTTTTAATAGAAAAAAAAGGTTGTTAATTTTTCTTGAACGATGCATGCAGAATAAAAATTAATTGATAAATTCAATCAAGGATGTAGTTAATTATTTATTTTTGCTACTCTGAATAATCTATTTCAAGCACACCTCAAAAAGCTAACGATAGATACGACGAATGGTTAAAACTTGAAAAAAGAATTTTTTCCCTGTTTGGTCCACACTTCGCGTCCTTCAGAAGCCATCGAATATCGACCTCTCCGCCACACTTTCTTGCCGTACACTCATTTGTGACGTCTCGGACACATTTCGATCAGTTGAGGTATATCGAGATTTCGACTTCTCGAAGAGAGGAGATTGATCGTGAAGATATTTTCGAATGCTCATTTTTATTTTGATCACTAAAAACGTCTTTGACATTCTGCTTTCGAACGATTCTTCACTTTTATTTCATCATCCCATCGGAGCATGTTTTTGTTTGTTAGGTGATTTTATATAGGTTCATCATTTTTACAATAGAATGTATCAGCTCTGGCTAACAATAGTGGCGGAGCCAGGATTTCAGTCTAGGGAGAGCTGAACTCCATATTCATTATCCAAAATCTGTCTACAGTCGTGCAAGTTTTTTTTCCTGAAAGCTTTGAAATTCGATGCAGTTCTTTTCGTCCTAATATCCTATTTAATCATTTATTGCTCGTGTAATATATATAAGTCAACATATGACTAGCTTTCATTTTAAATTTATTTCACAATAACTTAATCATATAAACATAATTCTACTGTTTTTGTGCTTCACGGTGAACACAGCAACAACTTTTTCAAAATCAATTTGAAACTCTTTTACTATAGCCAATGTACTAAGATCACTAGATCTTTCATCGCTCATCGAATTTCGAGCATAGTTTTTAATTAATTTCATTTTAGAGAAGGATCTTTCGCAAGCGACAGATGACACAGGAAATGTGACAACTCCTTTGGTCAAAGCAACAGATGAAGGAAATGTCTGTGTTCATTGGCTTTAATTCATTGAGTACATCCAATGTAGTTGACAATTTAGTATATTTAACCATAAGTTTTATAACAGAAATTTCATTTATTATCAAATTTTTCTCAACTATCTAGATGGAGCTAAAATTTCCTAGAGGGAGCTCAAAAGCTTCTACAGGGAGCTCAGCTACCATCAGCTACCCCGGTTCCGTCATTATTGGTCAGTCGATGTGTATAGAGTATGTCGAAAGGGCCTTTCCAAGCATATCTGGGCATACCAAAAGAACGTTGGATTTCTCTGGTCGGGTAAAAATATCATATAGGTGTGAGTGAGTGTAGATAAAGAGAAGACTCACACCCACACCCACACCCATACCATGTCATAATTGCTAGTTTTTTACACTATTGATACAATCGTTTATCGTGTCTGTCCTTATCCTCTGTAGTTTGCAAGATCAATTTCACATCATCAAACGTTGCTCTTATCAACGAAACATAGTACAAAGTTTATTCAAAAACTGGCCGCTCTTTCCCTTACTTTCTTTCTACTTCTCAGATGATATTTCTTCACTCAATTTGTGATCTCATTTCTTGTAGGTTGTTCGTTATATAACTGTTGTATATTTTGTAGTTCAACTCATTGAGAAATATTTATTCATAATTAATCATAAAAAATAAAACAACGCATTTCAAGACTTTTCTGCTCGACATCTGATGGTGGCTCATTTTCATTTACAAAACCCGCATGGAAACCAAAGTGGGCGACATCGGGCTTGCTGTCGAACATTTTGAAGACAAAGAGTTCATTCGATCGCATATGGCTCAGATAATACCATTTGTGAACATCTTCAGCAGTGCGAGACAGTGCATAGCCTGTAGCAGTATTCACGGATCCCATAACTTCCATTGGATGCACCTCTTTTTCGACATTAATCGTCCGACAGTCGCAAATTGTTAATGGCTTGTCCGTTATCGGATTTGGGCCTACCGGCCGCCAGATGTTCATTACTTGAAAACGCTTTTGCATTGCTTTTCTGGCTTCTTCCACTCCAAGAAGTTTTTCCATTTTCTTCAGAACTCCGTCTGTATCGATGTCGATATGAGGATAGTATGCTGGATTTCTGTGGGCTACATCTCCCTGATCATCAGTAAGTGGCCGACCTCGATAGCGGAAGACATAGTTATAGAGAACTACGCGTGAAGCGCCTAAACGATTCTTCAGAAGAGCAGCAATCTCTTCATAGCATTTTTTTTGAGCTTCACTGCCTTCATCAAATTCTTCCTGTATGGAACTTTCATATTTGAGCACTTCAAAGCCATGCGTGTCGAGGTTGACAGTCTCCTCCTTGCCTCGTAAGTCATGAATAGTGACCCGAGTAGGTGTTTGTCCGAAATTTGGTGTCGACCAGGGTGTAGTAGGAGGTAAGTCCGTCCGAGCAGGAAGACCATCTATGGTGTTAGCAAGATAATGCATATTCGCAATGACATCGCCGCCCATCGTGATGAATTCAAGAATTCAAAGCAGTTTGCACAGAAAAATCAAACACACGAAGTCAAGAACACTGGATGATAACAACGGTAACAGGAATCTGTCCTCCCTTTTATATCTCTGCTCAGATAGAAGCTACTTTTTTTTCATTTTTCCTTATCTGCTGCACAAACTGCTCGTCTTTGCCAAGGCACTCTTTGTTATCTCTTTTTAAATTTGCACTCTTGTCAGTAAGGCACTCCACTTGTCCTTATCTGTTTCATAATCAGTTGACAACCTGTTTTGTTTTATTACACGATCTGCAGCACGGATCTGGGCCCCAACCGGATTCGGATCGAGTTCGGATTCAAAGTTTAAAGCTTGTTCGGGTCCGGATCCACAAAAACGTGGATCCGCAGCTTCCTATACCTCATACACACACCCTACTATCGTTGTTAATAATTAAATTTTACACTTAGAGGCAGTGTGAGGTGTGAGGTGGGTGTGGCTGAGTGTAGGCTTGGTGTGGATGTGAGTGTTTCAGGCGCACCCATCCACTCAGCCACATCCATACCCACACCCTTACAATTAGAATTAAAAACAGTCGTTAGCACAATCTCGAAAAGTTTAAAATGTGAAATACGATGCAATTGCTGTTACTAATCACAGGAAGATTGTTTTATTCTATCTATTTTGGGACACATTGCTTCACCATTGTTTTACTTAATCCTGCAGAAAAACAATAAGGAAGTAGTTCATCTATTAGACTGAGACATTATTGACATACGGTCTGTGACATTTCTATGGTTGTGTATGTCATGGTCTATGATGTGCCGTTGCTAAAATGTCTGTTGAGAGTTCAAGTTTCTATCCTTATACTTCAACACTTCATTTAGATCGTGTTTCACAAAAACAATCAATTATTAATATTGCCATAGGACATTTGAATATGACTATTGAACAATGAATAATTAATATGAATATATCAATTAATTTTATTATTAGATTATTAATAAAACAATGGCAAAATACTGAAAAAATTTATGTTAGTAGTACAATGGGAAAATTCCATCATCTTTATTAAAAGATTTAGTTTGTTCATTTCGATATACAAAAAAAAGAAAAAGAAGAAACGAAAGTTGAATCTTGGATATCTACAATAAATGAACATCTGACAAATGTGTTTTATTTTATTTTTCTTTTTTTTTTCTTCTGTTCGTATCACAGTCTAGGAAACCTAAATCACTGAAAAGATTTTACAATCGACCAGATAAAGAAAATAAAATATCAATTATCGATGGTGACATTTGATTTTTTCTTGCTATATCTAACGGTCTATTGAAAAAAGAAATAAAAGAATAAAATTTAATTAGATATAATATTAAACAAAAACAAAAAATATTTACGTCCGATTTTCCTTATTCACTGCTTCAACAAATGATGAAGATGTATTTCGTTTTAAAAGACTTTCAACAATTGGTTCATTGTTCTAAAGAAGAAAATCAGAATAGGAAAGAATGAGAATCTTTTTTTTTTTGTTTTGAACATACGAATATACAAGCATAATGAAGAATATTATTTCCTAAATTATCAACTGCATCAAAATGTTTACATTTGGAAACTAACATATCTAAATAAATAAAAATAAATCAATATTAGAATAGATCACTTATATTTTTAGATGATTCAATGATTAATATAAGAAATGTTTATCATTTTTTTTTGATTGTCTGAGAATCTATCTAGAAAGAATTAGACTTCAATCAATGGAGAATAACTTACATTGATTTAACCGACACTATTCCATGAATTTATTCTATATTAGACCTTCACCCTTATAATAATGTTCCTCAAACTGATCAATTACTCTTGAATCGGAAGCTGTGCATCATGTAGACCCCAATGGGTTATGAAAACCGCAAAAAGAGTTCAGATCCATAGCTTATTGTTGCCGATGTACTGCATTTTCACGGTATTTTTCAATACAATGTCGTGGTCACATATCAACGATGTAAAACATGCACTTTTACTGTAGCTGTATCTTGGGATAGGAATAACGAAAATATCTAAAACTTCCACAATAAACGATTATCATCATAGCTTGTTTCTATGCACAGTTTCAAGTTGCAATTGGAAAGTCAGGTTTGTTAGTGCTCCTGAGGAGGATCACAGCATTGTATTAAAAACATATCGTAAAAATACAATATGTCTGTAACAATAAGCTATAGACCCAAATTATTTTCGAAGTATTCATAACTCATTAGGGCCTATATGATGTACATAGTCCCAGCTTTTAAGCGACTAATCAATTGAAGGATTTCGCTCATTAGAATGCCTATGAAAAGAGTATTTTCTATAATTTTGTAAGATGTTAATGGTATTGATGAACCATAAGATTAAGGAATTTGAAAAATGTTTAGCCTTCTAAAAATCAAGAATAGAGCTATGCATATCCACCATGATCACGATTAGTTGAACTACTCATACACCAATATTAGTAAAATGAGAATTCATTGCATGAGATATGAATTTTTGTTCTCCCTTTGCTTTCTAAATGTCAGCGAGTTAAACACGAATAACAGTCTTGTATTTTCGAAATACATACCTAATCAAACTTGTTTCATTATATTTGTATCTCTCAGTTATAATAATAACAAAAAATTATCAAATTTATTCTTTACATTGAAATGTCAAATAAGCAAACATTTTTACTAATCTTGGGAAACAGATAAAGAAAATAACGATTAACATAATATTTTTTTTATCTCTGACTATTATATTATTAAGTTTTCAAAATCTCAAAAATTTCTTATTCATACCTATAGTACTGGAATCAATCTCATTGATAATTGCATACATAGGTGGTGTACGTTGTGAATGATCTTTAACATCAACGTTAACATTATCATAATGAAGTAATATTTTTATACATTCAGATCCATTTTTTATCATTGATGCTAAATGTAAAGGTGTAAATCTAAAAATATATTAAATGTTTGACTATTTTTAAAGTTTAGTTTTATTTTTCTTTACTGCTCAAGTCTTGTCGGTAAATTGATCATAGTTGAAATGCTATCTGTTTGTAAAGCATTCAAAATGGCTTTTAGACATGTTGAATCAGCACATATACAAGCAAGATGAACAGGTGTTATACGACTTGTTGTTAAACATCGAAGACTAATATCAGAAGCAAGTAGAATACGAACTGCTGTTTCATGTCCTAAAACATTTTTTTTTAAATAAGAAAAATAAGAAAAATAAAAATTTTTTATTTACCTCTCAAAACAGCATAATGTAATGGACTAAATCCATCAACATCAGCAACTTGTTCGTAATCATACTAAAAACAAAAAATAATTTCATTAATTTCGAAATATAAATTTGAATGATTTACATCAGCTAAAGTTGATAAAATAGTTATATTTCCAGTTGCAGCTGCATAATGTAATGGTAATCGTTTATTCTTATCAATAACATTAACTTTTAAATCATGTACATCAAGTAATTCTTGTAAACTTTCTTCACAATTATAAATCGCACAATAATGTAATGGTGTTAATAATGATAAATCTGTTACATTTGGATTTGCACAACCAAAATTAATTAATAAACGTATACAATTTGGTGAAGAATGTTCAACACAATAATGAAGAGCTGTTCTAAAATGAAATAATATACATCATAGAATCTGTAAGTTTGATCAACTTAATTCATTCCTAATTCAACTTCCTAACTAGTTAAAATTAAGTTTTTCGCTTTTCTTCATATAAACAAGATTTGAAATGTTGGGTAAGTTATTCTATATAGATCAATAGTTACTATGAAAAAGTTGATAGATTATCTCTTAATTCTCAAAAACGTAACATACAAGTTTTAGTTTTTCATTCTTTGAGTGAGAAACCCACGAGAAATTAAATTTATACCATTTTATTTTTATGCTTTTCAAGCTACTATCATTTTCATATTTTCCATTCTTTAATCCTGTTGGCTATGGGTTGAATGTGAATGTGCAGGGATGATTGTGATTCGTCCATTCACATCAGTATTGTAATCTTTTGATAGAAGACATACGCATGTTAATAAGCATTTGATGGTATTCATGTGTTTGTTAACATTATGATTTGTTCAAACTTTGAATGTAGAATTCCATCAAAAAATTAAAATATGTCTTCTAGTTTATATTCAAGTAACATACAAAACAAAAAAAACCATGCTCGTTCTCGCACACAGAGGTGGTACTGTTATCTTATAGATTGTTGAACAGTATAAACTCGAATAAAGTAATGGCTAACATTGCTAATCACTCTCATAGTACCCATGTTGATAGATACACCTATCTCTAGTTTCATTGTTGCTTTGCCGTATACTGTCGTTTACAGTCCAGCTTGACACGTAAACAGACGGTATTTTCTCTTAATTCCATGGATAGTAACACGGCATCATATATGATACTGTATTACTGACCACAGAATTACTGTCAGAATGCAGTCCGTTTACGTATCGTATCGTTCAACTTCAGTAATAGAAAACTCTTATGGCGCTAACGATATTTCATCCTGATTTATTACTTCAAAAATAAATGTTTGGTAATAGGTTCATTGAAAAGTTGATAAACATATTTTGAAAAAATAAATATAGACAATTCTTCATTCTACGAGTCTCCCATGGCGATTATGTCGACTGTTGGAAGCGACTCGAAGCGACTATAAAATGGTATATCACTATGTTAATTTTCAGCGTAATCTGTCGGCTCATTTTTTCTCTAGCTAACAGTCATCATTTCTCCTACTATTTTTACCATTTTACGAGCTTACGAAAAATGACGTTTTTCGCCCTCAATTCTTTGAATAAAATTTAAAAAATCGGCCATTACTAAAAATTGATCAGATATTCATTTTAAATCGATCCCAGCTTCTCATTATAGTTTTATTTATCAAATTTTTAACCAGTTACTTATTCATAATAAATATCCTCAACACTAGAAATTATCAAAGATGATTCTGTCATTCGAAAAAAAATCAACCATTCTAGTAAGAGATAGAATACGACCTATATTGCTCTTATCCTGTTTAAGCATAGTGTATGAAAGATGTTTTGTTGTCAATCTTCTCCAGTGGATAAACAACAACACCGGTATTCTTCTACGGAAACAATTTGGTTTTAAACAACATCATTTATACGATTTCCTCAGAACATGACTGGAGATCTACTCCCTACATACAGCCACTCTAGTATTCTACGTAGATTTTACAAAAGTGTTTGATCAAGTTTGGCAGGATGGATTAATTTTTCAATTATCTAAAATGAATAACCCCTCGAAAATTAGTTGAATTTATAATCGAATACCTGACAGATAGTAAACATTATATTGCACTTAATGAATTTACTTCTAACATCTTTAACATGGAAAAAGGAATTCTACAAGATTCATATATCGAGCCATTCATATGACTCTTTTCATGATCAGCTCATTTGACAAAAAAATCGAAGAAATCAATCGACAAATTTATTGATATGTCCACAATTATATCTTGCCGGACAGTCCCGAATTCCATTTACCACATTCCAGAGGACATTCGAAATCAGAACATTATGGAAATGAAACGGGACTCGAGACTCGAAAAAAAATCTGTCCTACAGAATTTTAATTTCATCACATATACTTACTTTCCTTTTTTATCACGAAGATTAATAATTGCTTTTAAATCATCTTGATTCATTTGTAATTCTTGTAATAAAGCAAATAAACATTCACTTTGTCCACTTATTGCTGCATAATGTAAACTAGTTTTTCCATCAATATGATTTATTTTTTTAACATTTACTTTTCTATGTAAAAGTAAATGTACACATGAACAATGTCCATAATAACAAGCTAACATAAGTGCTGTCATTCCATCATTCATTGTTTCATTTAAATCAATATCTTTATAATTTTCAAGAATATATTGTAATGAATTATCTTTTCCATGTAAACAAGATAAAAATAATAAATTTATTATATCAAAAGTTTGTTTTGATACTGAATTAAAAAGTTTTTGAAGTAAATTTATATCATTTTGCATAATACAATATGATAAACATGTTGCACCATTTGTTGTACATATTAATACATCACTACCAGCACGCATTAATTGTTCAATTACATCTGATGAATTACAATAAACAAGAATATAATGTAATGGAATAGCTCCATATGTATAACATTTTATATTAACATCAGCACCACATTTTAATAAAATATCAATTGCATCAAGTCCATGCCATTTCATACTTAATTATAGATTAGAATTTTACTTTTTTTGAAATTATATTTAAAAGAAAAAAGTCAATACTTACCATGCATAATGTAATGGTGTAAGTCCAAATGTATCTTGTTGATTAATAATATCTTTATTCATTTTTTTAAAATAACGTTCAATGAATGTTGTTAAACCTGAATGAGCAGCATAGTGAAGTGAATGACGTCCAATTGAATCAAGTATTAATAATGAATATTGTGCTTGTTCAATTAAATTTCCATCATTTTCAAGCATTAAATAACTTATTGATTGATAATCAAAATTTTTTAAAGCTATATGAAGTGGTATTAAACCATATTTATTTTTTTGACATAAAATATTTGGTTGATGAGAAACTAAAGCTAAAAGAATATTTGATTGATTATATTTACTCATTAATAAAGTTGATAAATGTAATGCCGTATTATTATCATTATCAACTAAATTTGGATCAGCACCTAATATAGAAATCAATAAAATTATCGATATGGAAATAAACTTTCTTTTTTTTTTTGTTTCTGATTTTTACCAGCAGCAAGTAATTGATGAACAGCATTTTCATTATTATGTAAGATAGCTATATGTAATGGAGTTTGATTTTTGAAATTTTGTATATTGACTAATGATGTTTGTAGTTTAGATAATATATGTTGAACGATATTTGATTCTGTGGATTTTGTTGCAGCAGCAAAATGAAGAATAGTCTTTGGGCAAAGAATAAAGAAGTATTAGTTAGAATCGTAGATTTTTAAAGATGAAATTAATTATTTAACAAATAGTTAAAATAAAAGAAAGAAAAACGATATAATCCTCTTAAGTTTTAACGATCGATAATTTAAACTATTGATTTGAGAGTATTGCTTGTGATATAATGAAAACAATTTGTTTTTATATATCCTTGAAAAAGTTTTATTGTATAAAGAATAATTTTGTATCAAATTTTACAAAGAAAAGAATGAATGTAAATGATTGATTTAATCTAATAATAGATTTGAGCTAGACCTATGATATTTTCTAATCAAGACTTATAGTGACTGACATTAAGTTTTCTTCTCGATGGTAGTAGCTAGCAAGAATCTGAAAAAACGTTTGTGTAGTTGAAAGGATTCTCTATTAGAATTGGTAGGCTCAAAGACTTCAAAAAAATCTTCTTGAATGAGAGTTTTCGGAAAACCAACAAATCCAAAACCAGATTTATAAAATTCATTCGAAGTTTTTGAAAAAAGATTTCATACCAGAAATTTTGTCCGTCACTATAGATGGACCTATCAGATCTTTTATCAAAGTGTATCTAGAATTAGATCTCAGTTAGAATAAAAAATGCCAAAGTATGACTAGAGATGTGCAGTTTTAGTTTACTGGCCATTGAGTCACGAGAGAACATTCCCAGATGTTCACACCCTTTTGAGCTGATATTTTGCCTATAACTTTGCTAAGTTTTGAATTATTTGAGTATTCTTCATGCATGTGAAAGTAATGGCAAATGCTTTTTGATAGCTATTAAAAAATAGAAGACGATAAATCTTTTTGATATTGAACATAATGATAACCAGATTTTACTAGACTTTCTAACATTGCAACCGTAACAAGTTCATAGATGATAAATCTCAAAGCTTCTTTCTTGAAATTTCACCATGATTTTCTCACGGAATACCAGCATTTATCGTATTGCTGAATAGTGTACACTCGGCTTCATCTGAAAATCATGAAGATGAATAGTTTATGTTCTGACAGAAATAGTACCGAAGAAAAAACGTTGGAAAGTCTAGTCTAATCTCTTTTACATGTATGGAAAATATTCGAACAAAATCAGAATTCGGCAAGGAATGCTCACGAGTATAATATCAACTTAAAAGGATATAAACATCTGGGAATGTTCCCTCGTCAGTGTCGTTAGTGGATACGGATACCAGTGGTTACTAAAGCATTGGAATAGACCACAACAAAAAGAGCATATTTTGATAGAACTGATGTCAGTGTAATCAGTGTCAGAGTGAACTCTATGTAAAGTTTGACAGTTCCGGTTCGGTTTCCAAAATATCACGTGAAACCAAAACCATTAAATCATCATCAAATAGATACGAATATTTTAAATCTCTTTTGAGAAGTTTTCACTATCGAATTATTGAGATTAAAAACGCCACATATTCCAGTACTTAAACAAAACAATAATTTCAATCACAAATAATATGAATACGTTCGACTTTATTTTATCTTCATTATTGAACAACAATTCTTCTATCATTTCAATTCTAAATAAATACATACATTTTCTTGTTGATCGGTTTCTGTTAACAGCGGAGCTTTTGAATGATTATTAAGCAAATCAAAAATATCTATATTGCCAAGATAGGCAGCCAAATGAATAGGCAAACTACCATTATGTGTTCTTGCATTAATATTAGCATTTGAATCAAGTAGTTTTCGAATAGGATCAATATGATTACCAATAATACAAAGATGTAAAGGTGTTAGACCCTTGCAAAAACAAAAAAAAAACTTGATTTAATTAATTTTTTTCAATAATTTATTTGATCATACTTGATCATTAATACAATTTAGATTAACATGTGCATTAAGTAAAATATTCAATATTTCAATTGATCCTTTAGTTAATGTCCAATGAAGTGGATAATTATGTTTACGATCACATAAATTTACATTTGCTCCTGCATCAATCAATAATTTCACCATCTAAAAGTGTTTTAAAAATTTTAGAACATATTATTTTTATTTCAATATTTTTTTACCTCAATATTTCCGGTCATACACTAAATTGGTTAAACAAAAAAATAAAAAAATAAAAATAAAATTTTTATTAAAAAAACTTACAGCATAATGAAGAGCTGTAAGTCCATATTGATCAGTTGTATCAACATTTGTAACATGATTAATAAGATAACAAGCACATGATGTATCAGATGATAATGCACATATATGTAATGGAGTTTGCCAATGTTTATTTTGAGCATCACAATCAGCACCATGATCAATAAGTGTTCGTACAATCGTCTATGATTAATTTTTAGAAAAAAAAAAAAACGTATGATATATAAAACTTTTTTTTTTCGTCTTACCGGACAGTTCGCTTTACATGCATAAAATAGTGGAGTTAATAATTGATTATCTTTAGCATTGACAAATGCTCGACGCGCACATAATGTATCGCATGTTGCCACACAATTGAAAAAAGCACATAAATGTAAAGCAGTTATACCATCAATATCCTTTATTATTATATTTAAAAAGAAAATAAACAAATCAAAATGAATAAATTATGTAAATTAACTTTTTATTTTTGTAAATACTTTAGTATTAACATCATAATTTTTGATTAATAATGATTGAACAGCCAAATAATCATCATCAATAGTAGCATCAAAAAGTGGTGAAAGAGGTAATAAAAATTCTGTTGTTTGATTTATCTCTTTGTCGTTTTTGTTTGTACTGGGTGACACAAGCTTGAAAATTTTTCATTTTTATTTATATAGGATTTTTTTTTTTTAAAAAAAAAAGACATCTTACTTTAGATGATATGGGTGAAAAAAAAGATAATGATGATTCAACTGAATGAGACATTTAATTTGCATACTGAAACATAAAATTAATTGAAAAAATAAAAGTAATGAATAAATAAATAAATAAAAAAACAAATTCCGTAAAATATCATATGAAATGAAACAAATTCAAATCTTACAAATAGTTTGTCAATAAAGCTCAAATAACAAACAGAAGAATGTTGACTGGGGACATCTTACGAGAATTAAATTGAAATTATATACATGAGAAGAATAAAGAAAAAGATATATAATGGATTGAAAAATATCTATCAGTCAAAATATATCTTATTCACTAATAATTATTAGCTTAAGAGAATATTGAAACAATATAAACTGAGATTTATTAAAATAAAAGTAAATATCTTTTCATTCACACATTGTAATTGTTCTACTCTAGCTCTTATTTGATTTTATACTAAAACATGTTCAAAGAGAACGATAAATTTATTTCACAATATTCAACCAAATTGTATTTTTCCTTTAATTGAGATCAATATCTACATATTACTGTAACTAAATAATTAATAATCGAAAGAATTCGATTAATAACTTTTTGTAAATAATCGATTTGTTTTAACTAATGTATTTACGATAATTAAATTACTCATGAAATTTTCTGCATATCAGTCAATTTTTATTAAAAATTAAGATGTATCGTTTCCATTGAAATCAAATATTGTCAAGTTTTTTTAAAAAAACAAAAACAATAATTCTTATTCATAATTGATGTTTTACCTTCAGAATAAAATATAAATTTTATAATCCAACTGCACATCACTCAATAAAATAAAAACAAAAGCATCAAGGACATTTTTCTTTTCGCAATAAAAAAAGAAAAGAAAAGAAAATTTAACTTTTTTTTTTGCAACAATAAACATTGTTTTCTTTTGTCTTTTTGTTTTTTTAAATATCTGTTTTGCGCTATTTGCTTTCGTTAACATAAAAACTATTTAAAGAAAAGAAAAAACACGAACTCTGCACTGTTTTAACAAAGAAGAAAAAATTCAAGAGAATCAATTAACAAATATGGACAAAATAAATATCGCATTAGAAGGAAATATACTTTGTTGTCAATTAAACAAAAAAAAAAAAGGAAATATTAGAATGCACATATTACAGAAAATAGATGAAAAAAGAAAACATGTTTCGA